TTTAATATTTATATATCTTAGTAGGTATTTTATATTATTCTATAATCTTTAGTAACTAAATATTATTAAGGGAGTAGGGAACTTAGTTATATCTAATAATACCTTTCTCTATTAATATATTATTAATATATTTAGCTTATAAGATTTAGAGTTATCTTATTTTCTAATAATAAATAATCTTAAACTTAAGAAATTATTATACCTTACTTAAATCTTTAATTTAGAAGAAGTTATATAAGTTATTTTTAAAGTTATTAACTTACTTAATATTAGGTATAGTAATAAGTATATTATTAATATAAAGTAATATTATAATACTATCCTTATTAATAAGAATATAAAGTTCCTTTAGGAATAGATTAAACCTTAATTACTTAAGAATAGTAATAATTTATTTATACTAGAGAAGAAGGGATTTTCTTAATTTATAGAGAGCTTTTTTTAATCTATAAAACTAATTAGATCTATTATTAAACCTATAGGGTTAAGTAATAAAGATATTATAATCTCTTATAAAGGTATTTAGAAAGGCTATAACTATATTAACCTAATAAAGTTTTAAATCCTTAAGTATTATAATTAATAAAAAAACTTATAGAGTAATAAGATTAGTAATAGTAGTATATACTATCTTATTATTCTTATCTTAAAAGTTATTATAGATAACCTATCTTACTCTAACTTTATTAAGTCTTCTATTTATAGTAACCTTTTTATTATATACCTATTTATTTAAGAGATATTTAAAGCTATCTAAGAGTTCTTTAAACTACTAGTATTCTATCCCTTATAAACTTTTAATTTAAGTCTTTATAGTATTAAAAATAGTTAACTTTAGAGGTCTTTCTTCTATTACCTCTTATTTCCTAAAAGTTATAAATAAGTAAATCTCTAAATTAAAGGTTTATAATAGATTAGATACTAAGAAGGTAAAAATAACTAATTTTTAGTCTATTTTATTATTAATTAGGTTAATCTCTATAGTTTCTATCTTATTAAATTCCCTATTAAACTTCTTTATATTATATAATACTTAGGTTCTAAGTATTTAGGTTATTTAATTAGAAGAAGAAGTAATTACTCTTAGTAATTTTATAAGAGTAGAGCCTCTATTACTACCTCTTAGTCTTCCCCTTAGTCTTCCTTATATTAATTAAGGTATTTAGGGGGAAATAATAGGGGATCTTAGCTATAGTAATATAGTAGAGGAACTTTATTACTAGTGAGGGATAGTAGGAGAACTCTAATTTAGAAGAGTAATAGGAGAATATTAGTATAGAAGAGAATTTTCTTCTAGTATTAATTATACCTATATATTTATAGTATTAATATCTTATATTAGTATATATAGTTTTAGATCTAAGGTTAGTAAACTACCCCTCTTATTACTAACTTCTTCCTAAAGAGGCTTATTTTCCTATTCTTATTTATTATTACTTTTTAGTTTTTAAGCTTCTTCTAGGTATAAATTACTTACCTCTCCTTATAGTTATTCTTATTTAGTAGAATAAATATAATAATATAACCTTATATTTAAATTATAAAGCTAAAACTTAGCTTTATAGGTTATAGTTAATAGTTTATTACTATACTTATAGGTTTCTAGTTTAACTTTTTCTCTTAGCTATAAGTTATTAAATTTAATTAGGGGGAGCTCTCCTTTATCTTCTTTAAATATTATATCCCTTATTTACTAAATACTATTAGTCTTTTTAATAAGAATATAGAAGATATTACTATAGAGGCTATTATATCCTATAAATCTTCTAAGTTTAGTTTTAGATTTTATTTTCTATCCTTTTATATATAGATAACTATCTAGGTGAATATAGATATAAACTTAGTAATTTTAGTAATAGAGATAATATATATATAGTTTTCTTATAATAGGAGATATATTAAAGGTATTTATTAGTTTTTTATAAAGATTAATATTACTTTTACTATTAAATAGTAGATTACTAACTTCTATAGAAGTTTTTATTAATTAAAACTAGAAAGATTTAAAAAGATTAATTTCTATATATATTACTTATACTTTTTACTATATAGCTTTATTAAAGCTTTTTACTTTTTTATTTTACTAATAAGAGTAAGGTATTACTATTTTTAAGATAAAACCTTATTCTTAAGTAAAAAGCTTTATTACTTTAAAAAGAGCTATATTATTATCTATAATAACTTTAGAGAAATAAATAATACTATTTATTACTATAATCTTTTTTA